ACTTTCCATACGAAACATAACAGCATTAATATGCTATTTCACGCTGGTTTTTGTGAGAGCGTGGTCCTTCCCCAGTCGTACCAAACTATGTGTGCTACAACCATATTTTAGTTGCCTCGGCAGTGCAGGCACTGATTCAAGTACCACAAAATCAAGAACCTGGAATAGTTATTTGTAGACCGTTCAAACTTTATGTACGTGCGTGATTCGAACTAGCGGCCCGCAGCACCGCAGCCAAACGCTTAGCCACTGCGCTAACAAGTCACAGCAGCAGTTTTTGAAGAAAACTTTTAACCGTTATTGAGAAAAGCTTATTAATTAATGTCAATGTACTATCATCATTACAACCCTTAATAATATCAGTGTTGAACATAAGCCTCCAGCAAGTAATGTCAAAAACACGAAGTCACCTGCATTCATCTGACCAGAAACTTTCTTCCTCTGGGATGTCGGTTCGTCGAGTTATATGGCCGGTCCGTTATTACTTTAGTTTACTGAAATCCATGAGCAACAATTGTTAGATTATAACTTTTTAAAATATACAAACAGTCCCAAAGCAAATTTAAAAAATATTGGAGATGCTTAAGTTCATAAATTTAGTCTTATTGTTTTTATTTATTTCAGTAAGGGAAGCAACAACAATAGGCTGCTTAAATCTTGCTTTATATGGGATCCGCTGTGTGATATATATCACGCTTTATAAAAAGCCCGCAATGTAACCTCCTCTGAACTTCTTAAATAATCAAATATAAATAACGAAAAATAAAATTTTGGAAAATCCAAATGTGCACACCCCAAACGCTCATAGTACTCAATTTAATTTCAATAATTACTGAAGCATGTATTTCTTTTTAAGCTAGAAAAAAAAGTTTCATCTGTATAATTAACACAAAATATTCTGTGACAATTCGTATTTACTTAAGGAGAAAAATTCTTGAATAACTAATAACAAAATAAATATAAAAGAACGAAATGGCTTACAGAAGTAATTATCATCATCATCATCATTACAGCCCTTCACAAGTCCACTGCTGAACATAGGCCTCCCCCAAGTAATGCCACAAAGCACGGTCCTGAGCCACCTGCATCCATCGACTTCCTGCACGTCTTACCAGGTCGTCACTCCATCTAGTGGGGGGTCGCCCCACACTTTGCCTACCGGTACGAGGCTGCCACTCGAGAAACTTTCTTCCCCATCGGTTATCGGTTCTTCGAGCTATATGGCCGGCCCGCTGCCACTTCAGCTTACTAATCCGTTGGGCTATATCGGTCACTCTGGTTCTACTGCGGATATCCTCATTTAGTAATGACTCTCGAAAACAGCACGTAGACGCGGCTCAGAAGGGAAATCGGTCTGTAGTTCTTCAAGAGAGCGTTGTCGCCTTTCTTGAAGAACAAGACCATCGCACTTCTGCTCCACGCCTTCGGAGTAGTGCCACCATGGAGGATGGAATTAAAGAGCTTCTTAAGGACTTCAAGTACCAGTTTTCCACCCGTTTTCAAAAGCTCCGCTGTAATTCTATCCTCGCGCGGGGACTTGCCGTTTTTAAGGTGCTGGAGAGCCATTCTAATCTCGCTCAGACTGACGTCCGGGATATCTTCGGAATAGTGTCAGATAAGACTCGCTCTTGGATCGTTACTCACACTTGCGTGTGGCTCCAACGATGACTTGAACAGCTGTCCATAGAACCTATCAATCTCACTCAAAATCTCAGGTGTTCTGGAAACCATGCTACCACATTCAGTCTTCAGCTTTGACAGTTGACTCTTTCTGGTAGACAGATCTCTGGAAAAGACTTTGGAGCCTTGGTTCCGCTCGATCGCTTCTTCAATACAAGCTGTATTGAAGTTGCGTAAGTCCGGCCGCATGCATTTGCAGATCTGTCTGTTCAGTTGTCTGTATGCTGTCAAATCTGTTGAAGAATGTAGCGTCATCTCCCATCTAACAGCCATGAGATTAAGAGTGTGATCGGAGGGTTTTTGTGTTCTTCTGCGGCGGGTCTTGCAGAACTTAGCTCCGACCGCATGGACAGTTTCCACGAGCTTGTCATTCATATTGTCCACTTCATTGCAGTCTTCTAGGCACTGAAAACGGTTTTGTAACTCGAGCTGAAAGGTTTCGGGACTTTGGAACAGAGCACGAGGGGGACAGAGCGTTGACTTCATTAGACGAGACCTCTCCAACTTAACGTTTAGGTTCAGTGTGCCTCTAACCATTCGGTGATCCCTACCAGTTTTCACCCTCGCGATCGCGGGACATCACTGAACAGTTGTCGTCTGGTCGTCATAATGAAGTCAATCTCATTTTTTGTCGAACCGTCGGGGTTCGACCAGGTCCACTTCCTGTGGGACCGCTTCTGGAAGAAAGAGTTCATCATAAAGATTCCCTCTTTCTCCATGAAGTCGGCCAGCTCCTAGTCCCTTGGGTTCCGTTGCCCTGTTCCACATTTCCCTACTTTCAGCTCACCGATCTCTCTTGTACCTAGTTTTGCATTGAAGTCTTCCATTAACACCGTATAGTGGGTTTTGGAGGAATGCATGGCTCTAGAGATATCCTCATACATTTCCTCCAGCTCCTCATCGGGGTATGCTGAAGTTGGTGCGTAAACATGTATGACCTTCAGCGAATACCGTTTGGTGATTCTGAGTATAAGGTACGCAACCCTCGTCGACACACTCTCAATCTTTACAACGTTGTTAACGAGAGACTTGTAGACGATAAATCCAACACCTCCTTGGGACAGATGTTCGCCCTCCCGGTGATAGAGCATGTTGCCGAATTAGAGGATTACCGTGTCCTCCCCCTCTCTTCGGACCTCGGATAATCCTATAATATGCCAGCGTAACTTGTCTATCTCTTCTTCCAGCTCCACGATCTTCTCGCCAGTCCTCAAGGTACGTTGTATGTTGCCAGGTCGAGTCGTCTTAGGTGGCAACCGAACCTCCACCGGAGATTCTTAGCACCCCCTGCCCCGCCGTTACGATGGTCGCCACCATAGCCAGGAATAGCGGGGCCGTCGGGGACTGGGTGCCGTCTCTTTGTTACATTCATAGGGGGGTATTTGCCATAGTTGCCACGCTTGGCAACCGGGTTGGCAACAGCAGTTTTTTTATTATAATTTTGCTGTTATCAGGAAGATGCTGCTGCCCATCTCCTGCCTGTTTCCCTTTGTCACCTTTTACGATACCCACGGGAAGATATGGGGATATTCTTAACCGCTACTACACGGAAGTGATTATCGAAAGAAACCAATTCCACGTGATTCTCGAGATATCTTGTACATAGATAATTTATAAACCGCAGAATAAAGGACATCCACAATATAATTTTTTATCGGACTTTTTATTAATAATACGTGTTGTTGTATAATAAAATGAGAACATCATAAATGTAGTCGAAGTCAATTAAATACGCATTATTAAGGATAACTCAAAAACTAATGGTCAGATCTTGAAAAAATTTATATGGAACCACATTTCAAATAAAAAAGCACAGGCTTTCAAATAAACAAAGAATCATCAAAAAAATCTGGGGTAACACACATTAAAAAACACAGTCGAATGGAGAACCTCCTCCCTTTTTTAAGTCGGTTGAAAAAAGCATCGGACTTGTTCATTAGTGTTTCCTCTTCCTAATCATGTGCTTTCCATAACATAGTGCGATGTAAAATAAAAAACACGAGTTAACGTAAGTGAAATGTGTGATTTAAAGAATTCTACAGTAGAGCCCAACCTCTCCCGCTTTGCGTTCCAGGTGTGCAAAAAAATAAGATTATCACATGCACAACGGAAACCTACGTTTTAACGCCCTTACATGCGTTTAACAAAAACATATAAGTACGTATTTAATTATACAACTTATTTGAAGATTATTTTACTTATTTTTCATACTTTCCTCACGTTGTTTTTCTTCGCAGCCGAGCATATGGAAAACGTAAATATTGGAGTATAATAGTGCATTTTATTATTGTAATGACTTTTTGCAACAGTTGCGAATAATTGCATCGGACACAGTTTCTGATATCGCACAAACGGAAAATCAGCTCCGTCTAAAATATCATATATTTAAGAAAGCTACTGCAACTGTTTCACATTCAATTTATTAGTTAAGCAACTTTTTTTATGCATTTTTCCTGTAAATCAGCCAGTAGTAGCCGTTGCAAGCAATCTTGAAACTCTAGTAGTGAGCTAACGAGGCAACCTCATTATTAATAGGTCTTTACCTATGAAATTGCCGTTCTGTAGTACTGGCCATTTCAAATCAAAATAATTTTTGTTTGGCTAAGAACTCTAATTTTAAGTTAATTTTATTTTGAAAACATGGAATTCTTTTTCGTCATCATGGATACGTTAAAAATTCAAATAATTATGGAATATGAGTCCAGCAACGTGGCAGCAACGAGGCACAAGCGGCACGCAGCAAATACGGAGCAAATACTACAAACGGACTTACCACCTGTTATTGGTTTGCCCGTTTCTGTACTCAAAACGACCTTAAAAATGAACCCCGTAGTCAGTCCTTCGAAAACTTTGGTTGACAATAACGAATTAAAGACGATTATGGAAGCTGATGATACTCAATCTATGGCTAAATTAGCAGCAGCTTTCGACGTAAGCATCAAAAAAATAATGTTCTATTAGCATCAAGTTAGTAAGGTTTAATAGTTTGACAAATAGGTGCCCCACGAACTTAATGATCGCCAGCGCGAAGTGCGCGTCCAGGCGTGCCTTGCACTGCTCAACAGGCACACAAACGAAGAAATTTTGAACCGCACTGTTACCTGCTACAAAAATGGATTATGTTTGACAATCGCAAGCGTTAAGCAAGTTTGGTTTGGATCCTGGTTCAGCACCTAAACAATGCCCTAAATAAAAATTTACCCCTAGAAAAGTGATGGTCACTGTTTGGTGGTCTAGTGCCGGTGTGATTCATCACAGCTTCTTACCAAACGGAAAGAGCATTAATGCAGATGTGTACTGTGAGGAATTGAAACATAATGATGGAAAAGCTCGCACGTCTCCAACCAGCTTTAGTCAATCGCTTGTCCTCACTGCTCCTGCACGACAACGCGCGACTTCATACTGCACAAGAGACGGTCTCCAAGTTACAAGAGCTGGGGTTGGAAGCTCTCCGTCATCCACCGTACTCACCAGAACTTGCGCCTACAGACTTCTACTTTTTCCAGAATTTGGATAACTTTATGCGGGAAAAAATTTAATACTCCAGACACAGTACAAAATAACTTTGAAGAATTTGTTTCCTCCCACTGAGTTGGCATAGATGCATCGATTGCACTGGGTAATTACTATGATTAATAAAAATAAAAATATATAAAACAAATTACGTGAACTTACTCGTATTTCGTTAAAATTTCATTTCGTAGGCAATTTCATAGGTAAAGACCTAATATCTTAAAGCCATTATCATATTGAACGTGTAGGGCCTTGTCAGTTCTGCAAAATATTGTTGACCCTTAAACTGAACGCGTATTAAAGTGTTTGATGATTTGTCTTAAAAAGGCACTCACTTTCAATGTCCCACGTTCATGTTCAATATCCAAATCATAATTACATACATATACATAATAGATAAACACTCACGCCTGTCACCCAGAGGGGTAGGCAGAGACTACGGACTTCCATTTGGCGCGATCCTGACACACCTCTCTCGCCTCTTTTACATCTCCTATCTACGCATACACGCTCGTCGGTTAAGGGTACTCCTAATCTGGCCCATTCTTAATGTATCGCCGATTTGGTCGATAAACCTTCGTCTAGGGCTTCCCTTCCCGACCCTGCCGTTCACTATATCCAAATCATCATCAAATAAGTTGTCAATAACCCCAGTGCCCCGGGCGTGCGTCTAATTACAGTTATTCCTCCAAGTATTACGTGATTTGACGCTTTGAAAGTACAGCGGCTTACCGTTTGGTCGCAGGGATGCGATCTCTGGCACAAATCAAGTAATTTGTATGGCGTGAAAATAACAGTTCTGGGTGTGCACATTTCTCTATGTGCATTCTATATTCAAAAGTCGCCTCTCCACGATACAATGCAATGCCTAACTGTGGGTTTTCTCTCACCCGCACTTCAGTTAAATGCGTAACCACCCTTCTCACATTATAACAAACTCTAAAAGTGTATCCTTCCTAAGCTTTTCCTATAAAACGTTATACGACACCAGGTCAGATTCCTTGGATAAGACAAAAAAAGTGCATAGACATATTATTACACCACTTAATATGATTTTTATTTATTTCAGGTATCCTAGGATTATGGACGCAAGCGGGCTGCGGAGAAAGCAATAAATATGAGAAGTAAGCTACATCATATTTTTTTTTTCATTAATTTCAACCATCCACTTAATATGTGCATTTATTGACTGTCAAAGTCGTAGTCTAGGGCTTCTGGCTACTACGTCGGATTGAGACTAGGATGTATGATTTAAAACATTCGCCGCAACGATGGGGGTCATCGAAACAGGCTATGGGGACCGTCATAACGTTTTAATCCTTTTCTCCTGCATTATTGCCTTTTAGCTTCAGTATGTTTCTGATTTTATCATTAATTATAAATTGATCTGTACAAAGCATGTTTTGAAAGTAAAGAAAGCTACGGGCCCGTAAACTGCGGATGACCCTGTGTGAAGGAGCGGCAAGAAACTCAAAAAAAGACACTTTTTTCTTTCTCAACAGTTACAATTTAACCATAAGCAAGAAAAAATTCTTAAGCTAATTATGCCCATGCATTCTTACTTTTTGAATAATCATCAAATTTAAAATATCCTTTCTTCATTAGAAGGCATTTTAATTTTATAAATTTTCATAAAGAACTATATTCGAAATTATAGGTATATTTTAATTATTAAGTGGCGAAGCTTGCGAAGTCACTTATTGATTTCACGATGTCTGTCCGTCTGTCCGTCTGTCCCACGATTATCTCGAGAACGGTTTCGAATTTTCAAATTCTGTTTTCAGCAATCGATTACTGATCACCCAGGCATCTGAACCTCCTATTTTGAAACTGATTGCTCAACAGCAACCGTTAGAAACCGCTACAAAGCTGATTGCTTCGCCATTTTGCTATGCTGTTAGCTTGCTAGGTTTATTATAAAATAATAATAATGTCCTTCAGAATGAATTTTCGGTTACGGCAGTAATCTACGCAGGGCAGGATTTTAATGTCAGAGTGTGTGCGCAAGCACAGGTGCACTCTCTATTCTTTCACTTTCAAAGTCCAATGGAACGACAAAAACACAACCGGAGTGGGATCAAGCGCAAGACCAACTGACAACATTCTGACTATGGGCTAATTTTGAGAATTTCTTGACAGAAAACTCAATAACTAATTTTTAGCCCGATTCAGGATCAGCAAGAGGGACCGCATGATCATGAGCCCAATCTAATAACAAGACCAACGAAGCACTCTTAGAGAACAAAATATAGAAGGAGTTAGACCGTTATGATCTTAATATATCTGTTGAGTGAAGATCCGTGGTATAAATTATAAAATAATGAAAAGTATATCTTAAAGTGCATTGATGAGGCTGTGCAAAATGATCAGTTACGGAGATAAGGGGAAGAATGAATCTTTTAACTTTTAGGCGTCATAATGCGAACAAAACAAAACAAATAAACAATTGATCAAATTATTTTGCAATATTCTCTTTTCAAAGTGCATTTAATTTAATTCGGATATATACATTTTTATTGATTTATGAAAATATAAAAGAACACACACACACACACGCGCACACACACGCACACACACACACACACACACACACACACACACACACACACACACACACACACACACACACACACACACATTCAACTTTATTTCATTTCCATTATAAATTGAAGATTGTCTACATATTTTATTTTACAGTTACACACTTTTCCGGCTGTTTCCCACCGAAGATTCACAATTTAAAGCCATAAAACTATTCGAGGATCCAAGCAACACAATTGAGATACTAAAAAAAAGTCGTGGTTACAACGATAGCACCGACTTACTCGTTCCTTCAGACCGTTTGCTATATATTGCACAATTTGCAAAGGAAAACGAATTGAATTACGACGTGAAAAAAAATTATGGCAGGTACGTTTTAGTTTAAGATTTTAATTGATATAGCAATTACTTTACACCATTAATAAAGTTGATTATTTATACTTAAACAATTCATCAGTCCATAAAAAGTCTATAGCTAAATATGAGCTTCTCCCATCTCCCAAAGTAAAGATATTTTGATATTATTGCTACGCATGGCTGACGGCTTGATGAAAGCAGTATTAGACCATTTTACACTTTGATGCTCGACAATATTCGACATTCGCTTATCGTCAGTTTGGGTATTTTAAATTTAATTTAAGTACAAGGCCTTTGGGGTATTATAAGTTTGATCGCTATGTGTGTGTGTCTGTTTGTCGTACAGTACAGCTCTAAAACGGCTGAACCGCTGTGGGTACGTTTTTTATTTAAAAGCAGGTTTTCTGGCGGTGGTTCTTAGACATGTTTTACCAAAATCGGTTCAGCCGTTTGAAGATCATCAGGTCTTTTTGTTTCTGGATTTTTTTTAATTTTCAATTTAAGTTATATATTATATCTGTAAAAAATCTTATGGCCATATTTCGTTACGTCGATATTTCGAGTCACGGTAATAATAAATTGATGATTTTTGTGCTGCAACCAAACGGAAAATTTCAGTATGTTTGTATAATTAGCGGAACGTTTCATGGATACGCTTAGTAGTAATCGTTTATATTCTTACAGAAATATTAAAAATTCCAATCTCTTCTGTAAGTAATAAGCGTATTATATAATCCACACCTAGATATACACATGCAATCCCTTGCTCTCCTGGGTGGTAATATCCTACATTTCCTATTTCGCACTCTAAATTACCAATCTTCAATTTCACACCACCTATCTTTCCCGTTTCCTATTCTGCCAATCCAACGTCTGCCGCGCGGATGGATGCATGGCTAGGGGCAAGCCTAGTCGTTAGCGTGCCACACTGCCCTGGGACCGGGCGACCCCAGAATTAGGCCAGCCTTACCCTGGCATGCGGGGCTCTGCTGGGGGGACAAACCTTTCCCTCGCTATTCGTGGGAACGCAATGGATAATCGTAAAAATAATTTAATTAACCAAAATGGCGGCGATGTGGTTCGCCACCCATCACGTCTCGTTTCTCGCGGGGGCGAAAAGCGGCCCACGGAGAACCGCTTCGCTACGTTGAATGTAAGAGGAGGAATGGATGGTAAGGTAGATGAAGTATGTCAGATGATGGATGAACGATGCATAGATATTTTGTGCGTGAACGAAACCAAAAGGAAAGGCTGTGACACCACGGTTCATGGCCCCAACAGGGAGTCCCCCAAACCAGCCGAGGCTGTCAGGTAGTTGGTGTGATTCTTTTATCTCGAATAGTTGAATGTGTAAGCCCAAGACTCTGAAGAAAAGAAGAACGAAAGGATGATTTCGATAAGAGGCTCACTGAAGATTTCCAGTCAAACATTAAGTTTTTCTGGAAATCCATCAAAACAGCCTGAGGAAAAACTTCTACCTCGGAGCTGAGTATAATCAGGGGTCAAGATGGGAGCATTATAAAAGGAGAAGAATGTGTGTTAAGGAAATGGAAAGAGTATTATGCAAGTTTGCAGAGTAGCAAAAAAAGAGTATTATACAGAATCCGACACCTTCCATCGAAATTAATATAAATGTTAATGAAAGTGAGATAAACATGGATGAAATAGTGAAAGCGTTGAAAAGTATGAGATTAGGTAAGGCTGCAGGGTATGACAGGATTACCGTCGAGATGCTGAGTCATCTGAGAGTCATGCTGAGAGTGAGTGGCTAGTCAGCTGTACCACTTTTTCAATTTGTGCTGGCGAAGTGGGCAAATACCGGGAGACTGGTGCAAAGCCGTAATCGTGCCATTGTATAAGGGAAAAGGGTCACGGCAGGACTGCATAAATTACCGCGGTATAAGCCTTCTCAGAGTCGTCGGTAAATTGTATGCGAAAGTGTTGATTGAAACGGTTGTGAAAGAAACAGACGAAAAAGTATGGGATGCACAAGCGGGATTTATAAAGGGAATGGGATGTACGAATCAGGTCTTTTCCTTGCGGTGCATAGCCGTAAAGTGTCTGGCTAAAAACAAGAAGGTCTATTGCGCGTTCGTGGATCTAGAAAAGGCCTATAATAGAGTGATGA